TGTGCATCCCAAATGGCAAGTTACCCTGTACACCAAATGCCTGCCCTTTATTAGAGCTTCTTTAGAAAGTTTTATTTATTTTTATTGCAAAGTCAGATATACAGAGAGGAGGAGAAACATAGAGGAAGATCTTCATCCAATGACTCACTCCCCAAGTGGCCACAACAGCCGGAGCTGTGCCAATCCAAGCCAGGAGCCAAAGGCCTCCTCTGGGTCTCCCATGTGGGTGCAGGAACCCAAAGCTTTGGGCTGTCCTCAACTGCTTTCCTAGGAGGTCACAAGCAGGGAGCTGGATGGGAAGCAGGGCCTACTGTGGTTAGAAGTGGTGCCTACAAGGGAGCCTGGAGCACTCAAGGTGAGGACTTCAGCCGCTAGGCCACTGTGCCAGACCCTAGTAGAGCATTTTTGAGCTGGAGTGGATTGAATATATGTATATTCTGTAGACATAGTTCTGGTTATTAAACAGAGAATTGGAGAGTAAGAAGGAGAGATAAAAATATAAAAGTGTTTGTAAGGTTTTTGGAATAATGATTATATTTGCTGTGATGCAGTGTTGAGGCAGCAAAAATTTTGGTTTTATTTGAGATTCCTTAGATATCCAGGCGAGCAGTTGATTTTGTAAGGCTCACCTTTGTAAGGCGTAGAAGAGAGAGTTAATGGTAAAGCGATACCATCTGGTCTGACAAAAGCCAAATAAGATTACATGGGGTCAAGGTCAGTGAAGAAGCAGCCAGGGACTGACCCTGGGTTCTCCCAACTACCAGAGTTTGAAAAGAGGCAGAGACAGCTCATGAGGAAGAGGAAGAATGCCACAGAGATCCAAGAGGAGGAGCTGCTTCTGAAAGGAGGGAGAGCCAAGCTAAGGGGAAGACCTTTGGGTTTCCTGAGGTATGGGAATCCTTAAGGACATTGGCAAGTGGTCCTGCAGAGCGGAGTGCGCAGGTAGGAAGCCTTTGAATTGGGGGAAGGAGGAGAATGGGAAGAAAGTAAGCAAATGAAGACAACTTAGGAGACGTTTCATTGTGAAGGGGAGCCAGGATGTAACAATGGTTAAGGATGAGGAAGGATCCAAAGAGGTTTTTCTTTCCCTGTGAGGTGTATGATCAGTATTTTCTGTGTGTGTGTGTGTGTGTGCACTGATGGGCAGAGTCCTTTAGGAAGAGAGAAAAAAGATATGAGTATGTTTTTTTGTCACTTGGAAATTGCTATTTTGAGTTTAAAAAGTTTGGATGTGGGTGGTGTTGTGGTGAAAGGTTTCTCTACTTCGTCTTGGGAATTTTATTTTTCTGCTGTTGGTCTTATTAAATATCACAATAGATTTTTATCTTTCATGTTTCTAGTAAATGGTGATTGTTAGGAAGTTGAACCAATTGTGTATAAAAAATGTAAAAGACATTTAACAGGGAATGTGTTTCCCAAAGCCCATTGTTTACCACAAAAAGGAAGTCACTAGCTTTTTGTTGCATCAGTGAGGATAAAATTACTTTGTGAACACAGTATTCCTTTTATGTCTAACATTTTTCATACTGTGATCAGAAGAAATTATTATACAAAAACAAGTTTTGGAAAGTATAAACTTTTGTTAGAAGCAAGGATTTATTTAATAAAAATCCTTAGATAAGTCTGTTTTCTCTTCATTCCATTTTTTATGTATTTTTAAAAATTTATTTTCATTTGAAAGGCAGATTTACAACAGAGAGAGAATGAGAGATTTCCACTCTACTGGTTCATTTTCCAAATGGGTGTAACTGTCAGAGCGAGGCTGCTCTGAGGCTAGAACCCTCTCTGGGTCTGCCAAAGTGGGTGCAGGGGTCCAGGCATGTGGGTCATGTTCTGCTGCTTTCCCAAGCACATTAGCAGGGAGATGATTGGGAAGTGGAGAAACTGGGACTTTAACTGGCATCCATACAGGATGCTGGCACTGCGGGTGGAAGCTTATCTTGCTACACCACAGTGCCTGTTGCATTCTGTTTTTACATTACACTAACTGTGGAGATAGTTTTTGCAAGTTAAAATTACAAGTATGTAGTTCTTAATAACTTTTTGAAAGGCAATACTGAATCTCAACTGATTTTAAGGGAGATAAGATAGTACAGGATAGTGGGAATATTTACTTTAGTCTGAGGCAGGAGGAGGAAATCTGTATTCCTGAAAATACAGTTAGTGTCATCATGAGAATATACTTGATAGAAGTAGACCATACATCACAGCCTTGTACTCGCCTTTTCTTGTAAACTCATGCTTAATGGGAATCTTCTCAGATAAAATTTGATAAAAAAAAAAACAACACACATTCATAGATGACAAGGATGTAATGATAGATTTGGGCTCACAGGAGACTAGCATTTTTCAACCACTGAACTTATTGAAACTTTATTTTCTACTGCGGATTTCAGTGTTTCTAACTCCCTCTTCAAAAGCAGAAAACACTGTCTGACAATAATAAAGCCTTCCAACTTCTTCCTTTTTATTAAACATCTGTTTGAAAGACAGAGGGGGAGATAAACATCTTGTATCTACTGGTTCATTCCCCCAGGGCCTGTAAGGTGGGACTGGGCAAGGCTGAGGCCAAGGTGGCAGAAGTCCAAGAACCTGGGTCATCATCTGCTGATTCCCAGATACGTGAGCAGGAAACTGGACTGGAAGCAGAGGAAGGTTCCACCCACCCGCATTCATAGTATGGGATGCAGGAGTCCCAAGCCTGTAGCTTAATGTGCTGTGCCACAATGAGTGTTTGCCCCTACATGAGCAAGTACTGTGGTTAAGTTGCTGCCCTCAGTGCCGGCATCCCATATGGATTCCAGTTTGAGTTCTGGCTGCTCTACTTCTGATTCAACTCCTGGCTAATGTGCCTGGGAGAACAGCAGCAGATGGCCCAGGAGCTTAGGCCCCTGCACCTATGGGGTAGTGGGGATTCAGAAGTTCCTGCCTCCTGGGGTCAGCCTGGTGCAGTCTTCATCATTACAGCCATTTGGGTTGTGAACCGTGAATGGAGGTCCCTCAGTCTCTCCTCTCTTCTTGTTACTCTGCTTTTCAAATTAATAAAAATAAGTCTCAGAATGGAGATAGTAAGTTGTTCAGTTTTTTTTTTTAAGTTTATTTAGTTTGAGAGAAACAACAAGAGAGAGAGAATCTTATCTGCTAGTTCATTACCCAGATTACCCAACAGATTACCCAAATACCTGTGCCAGCTCAGGCTGGGCAGGCCTGGAGCTCAATCCATGTTTCTCTTTTTGGTGGCGGGGACTGAGTTATGTGGACTTAACTGTGTGTGAAATATTGATAGAACAATACCTTGCATCATGTCTGATTGTTAGGTATTTATTCTCAGTCGTATTATCAAGTATTTATTCTCAGTTTCCCTTTCTTGCTGTAATTTGAATCATCCAAGTCTGTAATGTGGTGCTGTATAATATGCCTTAACTGAAGTATGTTTAAACCATATCCTTGATGGTTTGGAATTCTTGTTGAAATTTTAAACAGTATAGATGACCTTGAGTACAGTCTGCTTGGTGAAATAATCCAATAGGTCAAGAACAAATACTGTGATCCCGCTTATTATTCAGGAACCTAGGGTAGTCAGAGTCCCAGAGGACAGACAGTAGAATGGGAGTTCTAGAAGTTAGAGCAGAAGGAATCCATCTGGAGGTGGATCATGACAGTACAGTAATGTGAATGTGCTCAATTGAAATGGTTAAAGGATGTGTTATCTCACTGGTATTTCACCACAATTTCAAAAATAAGTAAGTGATAAAACTATTTGCCTAGGTGTGGCCATCTCCCCTCTTTTTGGTTTCTGTTTTTGAGTCAAGCTTTTCTCAACTCAGTGGAGAGTGGATTGCTATGTCTATGCCATGTATCTGTGGGAAATTCTCATACAACTAAAACTGAGAAATTTTCATCTTCCAAAGGTAATGCAAAGACCACATTGTGGCTGGAAAAGACATTGTCTATTGCTTTGCTTTGTTAGTTTAGAAAAAATATTTATTGGCCATTAATTGTGCTGCGAGAACAACAATACTCTTTGAGTGATATCTGCCAGCTATTGTTCTACATTTACACTTATTTTTTTGTTCCTTACATCACTTTAAAATCTTCTTAAAAGAGCCCTTGAAGATATTATTCTCATTTTATGATTGAGAAAGCTGCAGCACTGAGTAGATAAGTGGGTTTCTTTTTTGATAAGTGATTTTCTATTTTAAGATGATTTTGGAGGAATTCCAATATATGGAAATAGAGGAAGGGCATTCTGGATGGAAGAGAACATGCATATTGATTGGGTATTATTAGTGAGAAATTTTTAAGGAGAAACATTAATGAGAAATATTTGCACAGAACAAAGAGTTCAGCCTGACTGAAATCCAGATAATATTAAGGGGAAGAACTAACAATCTCTTCCATTAATCTTGGCTAGGAGTTCATTACCCTTAGGTGATGACATTGGGAGCAAGATTGAATTACCATTTCAGGGAGCTGTGTCACCAGAGTTGTATGTTTTTCCAGGCACATTAACAATATCATGTGGGATGCTGTATTCTAGGCAACAGCTTTACTTGCTATACCACAACACTGACCCTTCTGTGAGCATTGTGGAAAAAACAAAAACTCTTGCTCCGTACGATAAATTCTTTTCTGAATGGTTGTTAATTGCACACGTCATCCAGCAGTGCATATTTGTGCCTTTCTTACTGCACCTCCAGCAACAATGAGTAAATACGTAACAGCTGAGTTCTAGATAAGCTCCCAGCGCAGGAGTATTCAGTGCTGTGTACTAGTGTCTGCCAAGTTGATGCAGGCTGGGCACTTCAGGTGTGTGTCATTTTGCTACTTTTAGGCATGGGAAGGGCTTTTCTGAGGGACAAGAAAATAATTTGCTGTTTTTGTTTTTCAGGAAGGTGACTTTGTTTTGATACTGATGTATAGGAACATATGTTTTTATGAAAGCAGTCTGAAAGAGTAAAAATCAAAGTTAATATTTCCTTTTTGTTCTTGTTTTCCAGCCTTCTGCATTCGTTGTTTGGCTTCATCACAACTGCTCCTGCCCAGAGCGCCCACTGGAGTGCTGAGAAAGTCCTAGCTGTGGATTGAGCAAGCTTCTAGATGGATCCTTTCCCGCCTCGCTGTCTTTTCTACAAACTTTGTGCCTCATCAACCCTTTCTAAGTGGTAAGTAAGGATGTGTACTATTTTTCTTTCTTTTCCTTTTTTTTTTAAAGAAAGAAAAATAATAGAGATGGTTGTAAAACAGTAATTTGGATTTTCCTAAGCCATTTCCTTTTTACATACAAGTTTCTGTAATTTTTGTTTAGTTTTTGAAAAATAGTAACACTGAGAGTTATTTAAGGTGCTTAAACATTCTTTGCATATCACATTTTGAATGCAACATAATATATATTGGTTAGAGTCGATAATGAAAATACTTGAACATATACTTGAAATACTTTTTGTGTGACTACTTGTATGTTCTGTGTAATTCTTTGTTGTGAAGGTAGTTTAGTTTATCCTGTTATTGACTTTCCTGTCTGTTTAGGTATTTTAAGCTCATTGAGACAAGAGCATCCTCTGGCTTCCTGGTAATTATAGCTGACGTACATGTTTACAGAGATAACAGAGGTGTGTAATGCCAGCTCTCTCTACAGCATGGCATTAGCATGTCCTTCTACATTCTAACAAGTTTGGGGGAAGCACAGCTGCCAGTTGGCTGAGAACTTTCTTAATGCCTCTGAGGTGCACTCATAATAGATTTGGGGAATTGGCTGGAGACATAACATTGAGCGGAATGAGTTGCTGAAAGGGAGACCTTTAGCAAACAGTGATTAAAGTAGGCTAATTTTGAGCCAGTCAAAATGTTAGCAATATGCCTGCTATTTTTGAATGACCAATTTAGGGAAATACAAAGTGTAATAGAAGAATGAAGCTGCCAATGGAAACCACAGTGATAGAGGATGAGACATTGTTAGGTAGTTTTGAAGAAAAAATGGGATATATTTTAGCTCTAATTCTAAACATTAATTGCATGGTAGACTTGGAATTTTGTCATCTATGAAATGAGAAAATTAGATGAGGGGTGGGGAGAATCTGGTCCACAAGTCGTACAGGGCCTGCAAAATCATTTGGTTTGGTCCCATCAAGACAATAATCGCAGGTAGGACTTAAAACTCAGTGAATCATAGCAGGCAAATTTTTAAGTTGATGATTTTGTATGTATGGTTTCAAATTACCTTTGGGAGAAGAAAGATCTCCCACCCCTGAATTAAACTAGTTATTTGTGAGGTTTTTGTTTTCATACATCTAATGGTAATGATTAAAGTAATAGCATTTGGGGTTTTGTTGGGAGGAGAAAAAGGATCTTTTCTTTTTGATAGAAGCATTTATGTTCTATTTTCATTAAACTACAGGGTCCTACCATCAGAATACTCTCTTTTTTTTTTAAGTTGGTGGCTGTCTTTCATCCCTTTCTATGTTTCTTATTCTTGTCTTCTGTTGGTCTCAATTTTCCTTCATTGGATTCAGCTGTTCTCTTTCTGACTGCTTTTTGTTTCTGTTTTTTTTTTTTTTTGGTCTGCTTTTGGACCATGTTCATGACCCTCACCTAGCTTTCCTGATCTTTCTGGTGTCCATTATTTTCACCTAAGTAATTTTCCATATAGATCAGTAGTGCTGATCTTAGGGCCTTTAAAAAAAGCATGCAGAAGCGTTTTAAAGGTAGCTGAAACCAATTAGTAAAAGCCAGCATGGGCTCACCAGGACTGGAACCTCAAAATTCTATCTACTCCGTCCCCTTTGCTTCCTACCTTGGACTCCACCTCCTAGATGAATCCTGTTCCTGAGAAATTTGTGAATTCTCAAAGATACTTCAATTTCAACTTTTTTTTTTTTAAACATTGATACTTATTTCAGCTGAGACTAAAGAGTTATTTTTAGTACGCCCTTACACAGTAGAGTCAGAATAAAATTCCAACAAAAGTTGTGGTCTGCTCCTTTTTGCATACTATCTGTGAAGATATATTGTATGAGGGCCTGGCACGATAGCATAGTGGTTAAAGTCCTTGCCTTGCACGCACCGGGATCCCATATGGTTGCCCGTTCTAACCCTGGCAGCCCTGCTTCCCATCCAGCTCCCTGCTTGTGGCCTGGGAAAGCAGGCAAGGACAGCCCAAAGCCTTGGGTCCCTGATATCTGCATGGGAGACCCAGAAGAGCTCCTGGCTCCTGGCTTTGGATTGGCGCAGCTCTAGCCATTGTGGTCACTTTGGGGAGTGAACCATGGGATAGAAGATCTCTCTCTCTGTGTATCCGCCTTTCCAATAAAAATAAATAAATCTTAAAAAAAAAAAAGATCTATTGTATGAAACAGTAGGTTTTTCATTTCTGTGTAGTATTCTGTTGCCATGACATTGATGCTTATTTATCTATTCTCCAAATGATGCTTGTTGTGGTTGTTTCCAGTTGAGGGAACTATTACAATTGAAATTACTATGAACATTCTTGCGCTTGTCTTTTAGTAGGCATATATTCCTTTCTCTTGTATGTATACTCAGGGATAGAATTTGCAGTTGTCTTTTAAAGTTAGAGCTTATTGCCTCTAACTGTGGTCAGATCATTCTGTTTTGGGCCGGTGTGTCATGCATTAGGTGAGACCGTTGTCTGCAGCACTGGCACCTCCCACAAGTTGAATTCTAGTGCCGGCTGCTCTGCTTCCCATCCAGCTCCATGCTGACACGCCTGCCAACGGCAGCAGAGGATGGTCCAAGTGTTTGAGCTTTGACACCCACAAGCCTCCTGGCTTCAACCTAACCTTGCCCTGGCCATTGGAACTATCTGGAGTGTGACCCAAGAGATGGAAAATCTCTCTCACAAGATTCTCTCTCTCTCCTTTTCTCTATAACTCCACCTTTCAATTAAAAAAAAAATTGCTACAATAAAATGTCCACAATATGAATTTTACTCTTTTAACCGTTGTAAGCCCAGTTGCGGTCAGTATATTTACCTTGTGGCACAGACATTTCATCCTCCATCTCCGGAACTTTTTCATTTCTCCAAACTGAAACTCTGTAGCCAGTAAAATACCAATTCCCCATTCCTGGTTTCCTCCAGCCCTGATGGCCAGTCTTCCACAGTCTGTCTCCATGAATCTGACCCCTAGGACCTTATAAATGAAACCGCAGTTATAATTTTTATTCTTTTGTAACTGGTTTATTTCACCCAGCATAATGTCTTCAAGAGCATCAGCATGGTGGCATGTACCAGAATTTTTTTCTCCTTAAGAGAAAATATTCTGTTATATGCATGCTACATTTTGTTTATTTATTCATCCATTGCTGGTCATTTGAGTTGTTTTCATCTTTCAGCTATTGTGAACAAAGCTACTATGACCGATGGCATTCTGCTGTATTCTGTTTCTGGAGTCAGGTCTCCATATCTAGTCCAATATCAACAGCAGTGGATCATTGTGACCTCTTTGAGAGATACCATGCTGTTAGAGTTGATCTTCCTGGTTGTTTTGTAGGGAATGGGTGTTTAATCTAGTGGTTAGTAAGCTGTGTTCAATTCCTGGCTCCAGCTCCCGACTGGAGCTTCCTGTGTAATGCAGACCCTGGCTGCTGCTGGTGATGTCTTAAGTAATTAGGTTCATGCAGGAGACGGCTTGGATTGTATTGTAGGCCTCAACCCAGGCACAGCCCTTGGTGAGCACTTGGGGAGTGAACCAGTGCATGGGGGCAGAGTTCCCGTCTCTTCCTCTAACTCCTGCCACTCAGTAAAATTGCTGGTGCTGTGGTGTAGTAGGCTAATCCTCCACCTGTAGTATTCAATAACTTTTAAAATGTGTTTTTAAAATATTCAGCATTTTTCATTTTATTTGAAAGGCAGAGAGACCAGGAGATAAGAAACCTCTTCATTGCTATTCTGCCCAAATATACACAGCAGTTGGTGTTGGGCTGGGCTGAAGCTAGAAGAAGCAGCTTCTGCCATGTGAAGATGGGGACCCAAGCACTTGAGCTCTCAGGGTGTACAGTACCTCTCAGGCACCGTAGGATGGGATGTGTGCATCCCAAGTGAGTGCGTCATTGCTGTGCCAAATGCCCACCCTTGTACTTACGCTTTAAGGTCGTGTGTGTGAGTTTCATGGTTACAAAGTCATATCCACACACACACACAAGTACTCTTTTCTTCCTCCTGTTATAAATAATTATATTTAAAAATTCTAGTTTTAAGATATCAGCAGGCTATGTTTTCATGTTTTTTCTTTGTTGTATAAATTTTAGAATATAATATACCTTGCTGCTTTTCACAACCTTGTGTATTAGTCACTTCTTTCTATAGCTACATAATATCCCATTGGGTGTTTTGCCATAGTGCAATGAACCAGTTCCTAGTTGAGTGGGGGTTTTGATTATTTCTTATTTTGTGAATATAAATATACTGCAGTGAATAACCTTGTAGAGCTGTGTATGTATACATATGTGTTTGTGTATGTGTGTATGTGTTTTCTGTTGTGCCATTGAGTGAGATCTGGCACTGATTCCTAGAAGTGGAAATGCAGCAAAAGGGAATTGAATATGCAGTTTTACGAGATACGGCTAGATTTGTCCTCAGTGCACTGCACTCTTTGCACTCTCACCAGTAGTGTGCAAGGGAACCCTTTGTTCATCTGTGCACTTGTCAGCAGAATATGTTGTCAAATTTATGGAGTTATCAATACATGGACTCTCACTTTAGGATTAGTTTTCAGTTTGATTATGAGTGAGATTGAATATCCTATTTTAAGGTTAAGAGGCATTTTGCATTCCTTTTTTGATTAACCATTTTTTTAAAAGATTTTTTTTAATATTTATTTTTTGTTGCAAAGTCAGATATACAGAGAGGAGAAGAGACAGGAAGATCTTCCATCTGATGATCGCTCCCCAAGTGACCATAATGGCTGGAGCTGAGCCAATCTGAAGCCAGGAGCCAGGAGCTCTTCTGGGTTTCCCATGTGGGTGCAGGATCTGAAGGCTTTGGGCTGTCCTTGACTGCTTTTCCAGGCCACAAGCAGGGAGCTGGATGGGAAGTGGGGCTATCAGAATTAGAACTGGTGCCCATATGGGATCCCAGTGTGTTCAAGGTGAGGATTTTAGCTGCTAGGCCATGCCACCGGGCCCAAAAATAAAAGAGTCTTAAAAAAAA